GCATAGATTCTTTGAATTGGGAAAATCTAATCCTAAATTTTTTTAAAAATCATGATAATTTGATCCAAAAGGGAATGAATTATATATCGATAAATAAAAAATCATGTCATTGTTTTGTAAATAATAAAATAAAATAGAGATGAAAAAAAGAGAAAGACAGTCTTAAAATTAAATAACAATTACATGGAGATTCAAAAGGGAAGAAAGAATGTGATCATGACAACTATGAACTTCACAGTATCCGTATACAGCGACCTTGCTCGACATCAAAATTAAATCATCATTGTTAAACAAGAAATATAGATATCAAAAGATATGTTCATCACATTTTTCATACACAAAAAAAATATTCATAAAAATTTAAGTACAGACTAAAAAATTCTCTCATTGTTAAATTACTTTACCTCGTCTGATATTTAATTTGATATATGACAAAAGTATTTCATGTGCACAACAAATCTAATCTTATTTGTGCTTGTGTACAACAATCCCCTTTATATGACTGGAAAAACAATTCCTTCAAATAGCCTCTAACCTCTGTTTCTAGTACCCATATTTTCCTACAATTTTATATCGAAATTGAATATACATATGTAAATACCTAAAACTCTACAGAAAAGTTAGGAAAAAAAGACAAGTTTCTAATAGAGAAATTTTAAGAGCAGAGCTCGAAGAATTAAACAAAACATTAACAGAGAGGAAATGAAAAAGAAGTTCAAACTCTAAATAAGACTAACCATTTTGACTTATAAACGATTGTAAGATCAATTGTGATCTTTGAACTTTTTTATATAAGATGTTATCCACATTACATAGACTTTTGGACTTCTTATTAATTAAAATGAAAATAATTTGTGAGAAAAGATAACTAAAAGTGGGAAAATCATTTTATTTTTTTTACCTTAAAAATGGCAATAGAGTCATTTAATTTTACGAGGGCATTTTGATATTTCAACTATTGGGATATACTATTAACCATATGGTTGAGTTATAGTATTGATTTTAATCCTTTATAAAGACTTTACGTTTTATGTAAATTGATACAATAAAGTTTTTGTTTGAATAGATCATTGTGTTTATATGTGTGTCCATTGCTTATATAGTAGACGATTTTTGGGTATGGAGTTGCTTAACTCATACGCAGAAGATTAAAATTGTCGGTTCTTATAAGTCATAAATTAAATGTTCACAATCAAAGATGAAATTGGACAAACATCTTGATGATTGTAACACAAGATTAAAAGTAATTCAATCTTAATTATGGGAATGGTAAAATTCCAACTTCTTGTGTTAGTACATTTTGCATGTATTGAACGGACCAAATTGAGATATGCATTTAGGTTCTGAATTTCAATAAATAATATCTCTAGTCCATTACATGAGCTTATACTCTTAATCTTGATGTAGTTATTATGATCTGTGTAGTTTGCTTTATTATTTTCATCTATTAAAAGGTGAGACTCTATGATGAGTCAAAAAATTCCTAATGGATTGGATAATAACAAATTACATACGTGGAATAATAATTAGCTGATAGAACCATATCTCGGATATGATAAAGAAGACACCCCTTTATGGTTGTTATAAATAGTCACGTGAAAACCTTGCAGGTGGATTATATATGTATATCCTTCACGTGAATTAATTTAAGCATAAAGATAAAGGATTAAATTAATCAATGGATTAAATTTTTCAGAAGTTTAATTTAATTGATTGGTGTCGGTAATTCTAACACGGGGAGTTAAATAAGTTGTAACGAAAAAAAATTGAAATTAATTAGAGGAGTGCAGTTGCAGATTTTTAGTGGTACAATCTTTGATTTATTATGATATGGTTAATTCATGCTTTTTACGAATTAAATATTATAATTGGAAGCCTCTCCTAATAAATTTGTGGTCCCTACTATGCCTAATTAATTGATCGAGTTCGGAAAAGAAAAGGATTGTTAGTATTTTTATTCAGCTTAGGAATAAATTGTTTTTGACTTTTATTAGTTTAAAAGAGAAAAACGTTTTCTTTCCTTAAAAGAAGAAAAAAAGAATACTGCAATGTTTTAATTCCTTGGAAGATGAAAGAAACAAATAATAGTGTTTAATGGTTATTAGTGGCTATTAATGGTGTTTAATGGTTGTTGATTACCCTTGGTGTTTAATGACTTTCTAAATACACTTAATGATATTTAGTGGTTGTTGATAACTATTGATCATGGTTGTTAGATACTCTTAACCATGTCAAAATACACTTAATGATATTTAATGGTTGTTGATGACTATTGATCATGGTTATTGGATACACTTAACAGTGTCCAAATACACCTAAAGGTATTTAATGACTATTAATGACCATTAATTATGACTAGAAACATTTCTTCTTTCAAACATTTCCCTTATACTGAAAAGTATAAATAGGGGTGGTGTTTCTCAAGGAAAGGATATCTTTTTTAAAAAATAAAATTCTTGCCCACACAAGACTTGATTAAGAAAGTTAGTCAGGAATTAGTAGAAGACTGCAATTCTGGAGTCCCAGTCCCTGAACGAGTTGTGTGAATGCTACAAAAGGTTAGAGTTTCACAATTTATTTAGATTACATTATTATGCTTTTATGTAAGTTTGTGATTCTGAAAAATGCTTCCGCTGTGCATATTCTAACAGTTCCCACTTATAATAATATATGATATGATATGATATATATATATATATATATATATATGATATATGATATATGATACTTATACTCATATAAATGGTTAGAGTTATACTTCCATAGTGTTGGTATACAGTGTTCTTGCTCTGTACATTGGTGAATGGATTGTGGTATGTTAGAAATATGATGATTGTAACTATATCTATTTACACATATAATTGTTAGTGATTTCTGATGACTCTATTGAATTGTGACTTATGTGTTTGACTATGTGGAATTACTTGTCTACTTGCTTTATAAATGTGATTATATATCTGTTACTAATCTTAGTCGACATATGATGTCTACAGATACATAGTATTAGTAGGGATGCGACTCCTACACTTTCTTTTGAGCGCAAACTATGATCCAGAGGAGTCTACTAGACCCCGTATTTAGGTAAGTTATTTCCAAATCTGAGGGTGAGCTACTTCCATTGGACTGCCGCAGATCTTCCTTATTTTGATGTAATTCCCTTCAAACCTTGAGATTACTTAGTATTTATTCATTTTCTACTCTTAGAAATTTTTGATTAATTGTTTTAGTATGGTGACTTTTGAATTCTGGGGATGTAATAGTTTAGACTTCTGCTATTTATTTGATTTTTTTTAGACTTAGTATTAATTGTTGTACTTGTTATTTTCTTACTAGAATTCTTGGATGTTGGGTAACTTAGGATGTTAAGCGTTGGTAGCACATAGGGGGGATTGGTGTGGTTTCCAGTCATGATGCTTTGGGTCATGACAAGGTTGGTATCAGAGTTTTAGGTTCGTTGATCTAATCGTACTAAGATAGGTGTAGCGGAGTCTTACTAAATAGTACAGAGATGTCTATACTGCTCTTCGAGAGGCTATATGTTGCTAGGAAAACTCACTTTTTATTTACTTCATGCTATTACTTGATTATAATTGTTATATGGTGATCCAAATTGGTATCTGACTCATCACTCTTTTCTCTCACAAATGGTAAGAACACATTCGGGTGAGGCAAAAGCCAAGGTTCTTGAGCTAGTTGCCGCTCTGTGACTCACAGTTAAGGATGGGCGGCCAGAGGTAGGATGAGAGTAGCAATCCAATCGGGACTAGAACTCTAGTTGTTTAACAGGTGAGAGACAGAAGTGATTCCCCTGCACCTCAAGAGGCTCTAGAGATTGTGAAAAAGAAGGTAGATGTACTAGTTCGAGAGGTAATTGGCAAGTAATGGGACTATGCCCACAGTTCCTGCAGTTCCCGCAGACTAGTTTTTGGGAGTTCAGCATGTTGCAGCTATGGCTCTGTGGATGGATCAAATTTCTAATTCAGGTATGTTTCTGAGGCCTGTGACTGCACCAGTGATGACTAAAGGAGAGCATGATCTATTATAGAGGTTCACCAAGGTGAAGCCTCCTATTTTCTATTATACTGAGTCTGAGGACCCTTATGAGTTTATCATTAACTATCATGAAAGGTTCCATAAGATGTGGGAAGTGGAGAGATATGGAGTGGATTTTGTAATTTTCCAGCTGATGGGAAATGCTAAGTTATAGTGGCAGGTTTATGTTGAGTGTGGACCTGTCGGTTCACTTCCTTTGATGTAGACCTAGTTTCACTACATCTTTCTAGAGCAGTATGTTCCTCGTACCTTGTGAGAGAAGAGACATGATGATTTCACCAGTATAGTGTAGGGGAGTTTTTCAGTCACAGTTTATCATGCCCTATTCCATTCTTATCCAAGCATTCTCTGCAACTACTGCCCACCGAGGAGGAGAGGATCAGACAGTTTATTAAAGGTCTGAATGTGGGACTTAAGCTTGCAAATCTACGGGGCTTCTCCTAATTCAAAAATTCTCTCCCTTTGTGCAAACATAGCAATATTTTCATATTGAATTTGTGTTCTTTGATTTACGCACTTATCTCATAAACTTAATTTCTTAAAGAATCCTTCTTGCATTTTGAATCTGTTTTACCCCGCCGTCTGATCAACAACCATCTCTAGTCAGTTTACTAATTGAGACTTCCTAAGGACATGATTTTTATATAGATGTTTGTAGATCATCAAAATTAGTTTCTGCCTAAATCAAGACCTTCCATTTTTTTTCTTTAACGACCTTGCACCAAAAATACATGCTAAACATATAAGTTGAGCAACAAAACAATTTTAAAAGGAACTGTTCAAGTGTAAGAAGAACATCAAATTTTGTTCACTATATTCATATCCAAATCCCAACGGTTGAGTGTCGTGCAATAAGGACTCAATCTCCTCTGAATGTTGATCAGTTTGAGCCCACGAGTGCTTCAATTTTGATCCAGCTTCCAATTCATAGTAGGTCGATCATCCCCTTAAACATTTAAGCACCTTTGTGCAAGCACGGCAACATTTTTCAATTGCCCTGCATTTCCCTCATCACAGACTATATTGTCGTCAAGAATATCGAACAAATGACCCTTTTCCACTGAAGATATGAAATATTGAGCTAGACTTCTCTCTTCTTCTGGTCTTTCAAAACATAGAGCCTTTCTACCGGTTAGGAGCTCTACAAGCACTACTCCGAAACTGTATACATCACTTTTTTCAGTGAGCTGACTTGTTTGCAAGTATTCAGGATCTAGATATCCTAGAGTTCCTTGAACCAATGTAGCTAGCTCTGTTTGATCAGCAGGAACCAACCTGGATGCTCCAAAATCAACACTTTGGCTGTGTAGCTTTTGTCTAGAAGAATGTTGACTGACTTAATATCTCTATGGATAATAGGAGGGTAAGCTGCTGAGAGCAAGTAGGAAAGTACTCCAGCAGTTTCTGCAGCAACTTTCAGACGAATATCCAAAGAAAGAGTTGACGCCTTTAATTTATCATGCAAGTGTTCAGAAAGTGTTCCATTGCTGATAAATTCATACACCAATAGAAATAATTAATGTAATAACTATGAAATTTATAATATTATCAACTTTCCTTCGTCTAAAATACTGAAATATTAAGAAATAGTAAATAAGTAAAACAAAAGAGCAATGTTTATATAGTAATAACTATTTTGAAGCAAAACTTCCTGACAATCTAAATTACATAAGTAGCATTGATAAATAAAGTCATTCTTTTATCTTGAGCATAAAAAAAAAAATCATGACGATTCTCTAAATTTTGGAAAAGGATATTCAGAAGCATATATCTACATCACAAGAGAAATTGTTAACAAAAACAAATAAATTTAGACTACATCATGTTAACTTCATATATTGGAACATTACATACTAAAGTATATATTAAGCAAAAAAATAATTATTATATTATCAAAATTATTTTCCTCAAGTACTTAAAGTTATGGAATATACCCTCTTATGATAGAACGATTTACTTTATCAGAAGAGTGGTACCTCATATTTCGCTAAACTTCGAACTCACTCAACGACAATAAATCACACAAAAATTTTAAAATGCAAGAAGAAGAAGAGTAGAAGATTAAAAACTTGTGGTTGAAAAATGAGAGGAAGCCCTTCTATTTATAGTCAACAAAGGGTAGTATAAACAAGTGTTTTTTTGTGCCTTATCTAAAAAGTCATGACCTTTCCGAAAAATCACAACCCTTTCGAAAAGTCACAACTTATTGAAAAAGTCACAACTCTTTGGAAAAGTCACAACTCATCGAAAAATCACAACCTGGTAGTATGAACAAGTGTTTTTTTGTGCCTTATTTGAAAAGGCATGACCTTTTCGAAAAGTCACAACCCTTTCGAAAAAGTCACAACTTATTGAAAAAGTCACAACTAATCGAAAAATCACAACCCCTTGAAAAAAGTCACAACTTATCGGAAAAGTCACAACTCATCAAAACAAATGTTTTTTGTGCCTTATCTCAAAAGTCATGACCTTTCCGAGAAGTCACAACCCTTTGGAAAAGTCACAACTTATTGAAAAAGTCACAACTAATCGAAAAATCACAACCCCTTGAAAAAAGTCACAACTTATCGGAAAAGTCACAATTCATCGAAAAAGTCAAAATCTAAGTTAGGGATATTATAGTAATTTAACATTCAAGTTTAGGAGTTAATACTTTTAAGATAATATATAAATATAAATATATATATATATATATATATAATAGAATAGAATAGAATATAGATAGATAGATAGATATAGATGATAAGTATTTGTTTTCTATTCTATCATTCAATTAATAGAGAATATTATTCAGAAAATCTTATGTCTTTCTAGCATGGTATCAAGAGCCATGTTTAATTTTCTTTCTAGTGCTCTCTGTTTTCTCTACTTAGTTACTTTCATGCGTTCCTCTTGTCTCTTTGTTTTCTCTACACAGGTATTTATACTTTTTTTTTCTTTCTACTATGTTATATTCTGTCTACTCGATGAATTCACAATCATCCTCGCGCAGTTTTCTCTCCACAAAGTTGGATTGTTCTAATTTTTCTGTATTGAAATCCACTTTGAAATCTTTGTTCAAGGAAAGGGCTTTTTTGGGTGATTAGATGGTTCTACTCGTCTGCTAAAAGATGCAAAGGAGTTGGATACTTGTAAATTGAATAATTTAAAGGTAATCTCTTGGATGTTGAATTCGGTACATGCTAATATCCATATGGGACTTTGACCATTTAATTTTGCTTCAGAGATGTGGCTCCACCTGCGTAATGTCTATCAACAAAGAAATCTCAGATGAGAGTTTGAAGTGGAACGTAGCATTGCCGAATACACATAGGGGGACAAAAATGTTCGTTGTTTTTACATTGGCTTGCAGTTGCTCTGGTTAGAAGAAATTCAATTTTTTGTGCGAAATATATCTACAACAGGGCTCAAGGAGATGCTGGCAGAACGACAAAAGACAAGGATGGTGCAGTTCTTGATGAAACTTCGGGCTGAATTCTAGTCGATTCGTGGCAGTTTGTTGAACAGAGAAGTCACACCTGCTCTTGATGTTGTATTGGCAACCATCTTGCGTGAAGAGACCAGGCTTTGAACTCAGGCTGCCGTGGAATATATGTCATTACCCGTTGTTGCATTACTTGCACAAAAATCAAATGTCGTTGCTTCAATAGGAAATACTAAGAGAAGTGTCCAATGCTATGAATTCCATGACTTTGGTCATATAGCATTCAATTGTCCTAAGAAGAAATTTTTTTGTGCTTATTGCAAGATTACTGGCCATCATATTTCAGACTATCGTCATCATCCAAATAGTTTGCGGCCTGCTCACCAAGCATACCAGACGAACGTCACTAAACCATCTGGTTCCTTCCCTGCTGGAGATGATCTTGAAAGGCTGATCTGAGATTCTATAGCAGTTTTCCTTCCCAAAGCCATCTCCAGTGCACTCTCGACATCCTCAGGTATAAGTAATTCAGTTAAATCAACTTGGCATCTAGATTCAGGTGCTTCCAATCATATGATCAGAGATTTGTCCTAATTTTCTACATTGTATGATGATGTTTCTAAACATGTTATTCATACGACAAACATGCATACATTTCCTGCTTCGACTATTGGTTCTGTTAGAAAATTGTCTAATGTTCTTTATGTACCAAATTTAAAGGCTAATTTGATTTCGGTAGGTCAACTAGTTGATCAAAATTGTGTTGTAAAATTCTCACTCAATGTTTGTGTTGTTCAGAATCTAAAAATCGGATGACCATGGCCAAGGAGCATAGAGTTGGTAGAATGTTTCTTCTAGAGTTGGTTCATCGTCATTTGCATCATTGTTTTCTTTCAGTTTCTGGCGCAGATGTTACTCGCTTGAATAAGTTGCTCACTCTTTGGCATAATAGGATGAGTCACCCTCATTCCTCTAGGATTCATCACATTCTCAAATCATGTCTTCCAAAAACATATGACATTCATTCCAGTCTCCCTTTGGCCTGCTCTAATTGTGCCGGTTTGAAAAGTCACAATCCTTTTTTTTCATTCGGATCATCTTCTTATGAAGATCTGTTTGAGTTGGTGCATAGTCATGTTTGAGGTCCTTCTCCTATTTTGTCAAGGATGGGATATAAGTACTTTGTGTTATTATTGATCATGTATCTAGATACACATGGGTGTATTTTATTTACAATAATTCTGAGGTTTCGACTATTATGAATTTTATTGAGTATGTTTATACACAATTTCATAAAACTATAAAAATATTTCATTCTGATTCTAGAGGAGAGTACATTAAAACTAATCTTGTTGAGTTTTTTTAAAAAAACAAAGCAATTCTTTCCCAATGCACTTGTCCTCATGTTCCGGAACAAAATGGAGTCGTAGAAAGGAAGAATCGATATGTTTTGGAAACTACAATGACTTTATTGGGTACATCTAATATGCCTAAGAGTTTCTGGCCTGAAGTAGTACATACTTCCGTTTGATTAATAGACCACTTTCCCTAGTCATTGCCACTGAGACACCGTACTTCAAATTATTTCATAAGGAGTCTAATATTTCTACTTGCGAGTTTTTGGTTGTGTATGCTTTGTCCATCTTCTAGCACATGAATGACAAAAGCTTTCAGCAAATGTAGCACAATGTATTTATAGGCTACAACGACACACGAAAGGGGTATTCTTTTATGATGCATCTCGTCGTCAGGTTCGTGTATCTAGGGTCAATTTTCTTACAAACACAATTCTAAACATGCTTCAGAATCTGTTTGTTTTTTGTACAAGTTTGATGATGATGTGGTAGCTACTGATCCTCCGGAGCAGCCGATGAACTATGTTCACTATGATCTCCAGCCCTCCTTTCCTTCAGATATTGACTCTACATCCTCATCCTCATCTTCAGAAGAGGAATCATCTCATTCAGTTACTCCCCCACGCCGTTCTAGTAGGCAGATCACCATGCTCTTGAACGACTCGATTACTCTCCGAGGAAATTTGGTAAGTCTTATGCCATGCATACCACACTTCATTTTGTTGATGTACCTACATCTTACCCTCAGGCTTCTACATAAACTTGTTGGAAAGAGGCAATGTCGGCAGAGCTTCATGTATTGAATGAAAATTCTACTTGGGACCTTATTGATAAACCAACATATGGAGTTCCCATTGGAACTAAGTGGGTGTATTCCATTAAACTTAAGGCAGATGGTACAATTGATCGCTACGAAGCTCGATTGGTTGCTCAAGGGTACAAACATGAGTATAGGGTGGATTATGAGGAGACTTTTGCACCAGTTGCTAAGATGACAACCGTACAAACACTATTGGTTGTGACTTCAATGAGAGGCTGGACCTTATGTTGACACCCAATTTTGGACCTCCACAATAAAAATTAATCATCTCGAGTTTCTTCAATTTTAAACGATTTAAAATAATTAGTTTTATAAAATTTCAAAAAAATAAATGATAATAATAATAATAATAATAATAATAATAGTAATAATAATAATATAGTTTGCAAGATTTTTAAATAGTTTGTCACTTTTCATAAATTTTAGATGATATATATGTTTTACATAATTATGTATATAATTAGTATATTTTATGATTATTCGAAATATCGTCTAAAAGAAAAAAAGATTTTTTATATTTTAAATATTAGGGATGGTTATAATTTTGAGTTAATGAGTATCATGAAATTCAAAATACTTTCAAGTTATTTTTAAAGTAATTTTATCACTTTTTAATAATAAGTATGTATAGTTTTGCAATCACGCTATTTTATAAATATTTAAAAATTATCACAAAAGATTTTACATTTTAGTTAAATATTTTATCAATTTGCTTTAAGTTATAGCTATAATTTCGAGTTAATTAGTTTTGTAATTGAATTAAT